ATCCCCACCTCCCTCTTAGCCTCTATCTGACGCCCAGTGGTAGAGTTCCACACATCTCCCCAGTGATCCTCATGAGGTGAGACCTGAGTGGTCCTCTTGGGAAGTATCCCTCAGCACTGGGGAAGCTACATGTCCATCTTAAATTCTCTTTTTTCCACTAGAGAAACCACAGGCCTGGGAAGGCCTTCTAGGCGTAGAGCTGTATTGGCCTGGGAGGATAGGGCAATGCAATAAAAATGAAGCTGTTCCTCATACCCATTTAATGTGATTCTCAGTCTCTACAGGCTAGGGGAGAGCTTCAGCTCATAGACACCATTTTCATAGTGGTGTCTAATCTATGGATATTTGCTAATTTGTTTTTTCATGCAATACCATAGCATCTGTGGATTGCTTGCTAAATTTTACCAAGTGGCCCCAGAGGGGGTTAAACTTGGCCTGCAGCTGGACCCATCTCAGAACTGTGCCACTGGACACCTACTACACAAAGCCATGCTAATAAGACTGGGAGACTTAGGAGCTTTGCTTAGTACATAGAAACAGATATAGAGAGGCAGCCAAAATGGGAAACAAAAGACAAAACAGAGCTCCAGGAAAAATGGAGTCAAGCAATCTACCAGATTCAAAACACTGGTTATAAGGATGCTCAAAGAACTCAGGGGAAGAGCAGATGAACTCTGTGAGAACTTTAACAAGAGATAAAAATATAAATATGGAGATGGAAATTATAAAAGGGAATCAGTCCGTAATGAAGAATACAATATCTGAGATGAAGAGTATATTAGAGGGAATCAACAGAGTGGATGAAGCAGAGGATCAAATCCTCTCCTATAGAAAATGGGGTAGTGGAGAACACCCAATCAGAATGGCTTAGTTACCAAGGTAAAATAATCCAAAATAATGAAGATAACATAAGAGCTTATGAAATTACATCAGACGTACCAACATTTGCATTATAGGGGTACCAGAAGGAGGAGGAGAGCAAGAAGTTGAAAACCTAGTTGAAGAAATAATGATGGAAAACTTCCCTAACCTGGTGAAGGAAATAAACATACAACCCTAGGAAGCACAGAGAGTCCCAAACAAGATGAACCCAAAGAGGCCCACGCCAAGACACATCATGATTAAAATGCCAAAGGTTAAATACAAAGAAAGAATCTTAAAAGCGTCAAGAGTAAATCAGGTAGTTACTTATAAGGGAACACCCACAAGACTGGCAGCTGATTTCTCAAAAGAAATTATGCAGGACACAAGGGCTTGGCACAAAATATTCGACAGGATGAAGACCCAGGATCTACAACCAAGAATATTTAATCAAGCAAAGCTATCATTTAGAGTTGAAAGACAGATAAAGAGCTTCCCAGACAAAAATAAGCTAAAGGAATTTATCACCACCAAGCTAGTATTACAAGAAATGTTGGAGGGACTTCTTAAGAAAAACATGTATCAAAAACAGGAATAAAGAATGGTAACAACTACATTCTTATCAATAAGTATCTCA